TAGGAACACGCTAGCTAACGACACCGAGGATAACGATGGCATTTCTCAGCTGCTACGTAAAGTAAAGACCGGATGTCTTAGTGAAAGACAGCTGAGAAAGCTAGAGAAAATGAGACAAGATGGCAAAACACCATTGTATAAGAATTGTCCAATGAACAAACTGGAAGCCGACATCATGCTGTTAGAGTTCAAATCGACAAACGGATTGAGCGATAAAGGCTTCGATCAGTTGTTAGGTATAATAAGTAAAATGCTCCTAGAAAAAAAACGAGTTGCTAGAAAAGACATACTTGGCCAAGCAAATGATCTGCCCCATCGGCCTCGTGGTTGAAAAAATCCACGTGTGTTCCAATGATTGCATATTGTACCGTGGAGAAAAATACAAAGACTTATACAAGTGCCCCAAGTGTGAAGCTCCACGATACAAGGAAGGGCCGTCAGATGAGGGTACCAAGACTAGAGGAGGTCCCGTAAAGGTCGTTTGGTATTTTCCTATAGCTCTCCGGGTGCATAGTCTGTTTGCATGTGCAAAGTCAGCCAAGCGGTTGCGCTGGCATGGCGAAGAGCGTAAGAAAGATACAATGATGAGGCACCCCGCTGATAGGCATGACTGGAGGACTGTCAATACTATGTTCTCTAAGGACATCGGTGGAGAGGTAAGGCATCTTTGGTTTGCTTTTTACACAGATAGGATGAATCCTTTCGACCAGGTTAGAAGCAATCATAGCACCTGGCTAGTGACGCTCTGTATACACAATCTTCCACCTTGGGTAAGGCTGGATAACGAGCTGGCTCGGCTCGGCTCGGCTCGTTCTGGCTCGTTAAGATAACGAGCCTAGCTCGGCTCGGCTCGTTATCCTAACGAGCTAGAAAGCCAGCTCGGCTCGGCTCGTTAAAAGCTCGAGCTGGCTCGTTAAGCTCGCGAGCCAGGTATAAAAAATACACAAAATATAATATTTGCATTTATCTAAAGTTTGAGAATAATAATAATATAAAAGAAATGCATCTAGACCAGTTACCGGTCAATTTATAGGGTCTAGACCAGTTACCGGTCAATTTATAGGGTAAGTGCAAGACATTAAGTTATACAAAAACTAATATAAGTTTTGATACTTTTTTTTCCTAGAAGCTTGGCTCGTTTAGCTCGTGAGCGGCTCGCAAGCTGGCTCGAGTTGACTCGTTATAGCTAACGAGCTAAAATTTTGGCTCGGCTCGGCTCGTTATCATAACGAGCCGAGCCGAGCCGAGTGAGCTAGCGAGCTTCGAGTTTTTCGTCCAGCCTTAACCTTGGGTCTGTATGAAGCGGTCGTACATCCAGATGCCACTACTAATCCAAGGGCCAAGACAACCTGGGAATGACATCGATGTGTTTCTAGAACCAGTGATCGATGAACTAGTGGAGATGTTTGAAAAGGGTGTGCCAGATGTTTGGGACGAGTACAAAAAGGAACATGTCACGATCAAGAGAGTACTTATCGCTACAATCACCGCTCGACAAAGAAGATGCGAATGTGCCTCATCTGGTGGACGGCATCACTGAACCCGTCAATGTCAAGTTGTACATCCGTCAGGAATGGACAAAGTACAAGGTGGCGCTCGGCCAGGCCAGGCCTACGGGAGACGAGACCATTAATGGGCGCTCAATTCCACAGGGGTACGCTCGCGTCACCATTGACAGAATACTTGATAAGAAGTATAACAAGATACACATTGAGTACCCCGCAGCAGAAGACAGGCCAAAACTTGGTCATAACAAGGGCTCTCAAGTGGCCTGGCGCAGGCGCTTCATTAAGCTTGACCACCAATTGTCCTCTGATGATGAGAATGACTACGAGTCTTCGCCCACCGCGATGATCACTCACCATCTCCCAACAGAGATCTCTCCCCTCCTTAACCCTTGCCATCACCTCCGAGAAGACAGAGGTCTCCTTCTATTCCTCCTCATCCGACTCCATCTTAATTAGCCCCGAGAAAAGAGAAGACTCCTCCTCCTCTTCCTCCATCTTCATCAACCCCAGGAAAACATAATTCTCGTCGTCATCCTCCTCCTCCTCCTCCGCCTCAGCCCAAAACAAGATCAAAGGCATCGTCGCAGTCGTAGAAATGGTCCTTGGATTCGGTCGCTAATGCTCCCAAAGTGGACCAATAAAAAAACAAAAGGTTGTTCAGTGACAGCGTTACAAACTTGATGAAAGAAAAATTTACATCACACATCTCGAAGGAAGATTGTGTTAGTTTCTTCAATCTCTGTGCCTCACTGCCTCAGTGTTTGTTGAAGTCTGAATTCGAAAGGCAAACATAGAATAAATACGCTATAATAAAAGCCGAAGAAATACACAATGAAGATTTAAGGAAGATACAAAAGTACATCGAAGACAACCTCGAATTAACCATGGAAGAGACCGCGAACATCTATTATGATGTACAAGAGACGGGAATACCGGCAATGAAGTATAAAAGGGGCAATCTTTTGGTTCCCGATGATGAGTATAAAAATTTGACAACATATATGCGCCATTTGCATGAATATTACATGGCTCAAGCAACAGAGATGGAGGACTTTGGTTTTGAGGTTATTATCCGTTCACCACATATTTTTCATTATCCTGAAGAAGAGAAGTTTGATGTCGAGTAGGAGTGCTTGTTCCAGCTATACCAGAAACGCTCTCTCGATTCACAAATGTTGACGTTGTGGACTATGTAAGTACCCTACACACACGATATTACAATTAACTACTCTCTCGAGACACAAATTGTTAACTTTTGAGCACTTCTCATGATTTTATGTAGGTGTATAGAAAAATTTTGCATACTAAAAAGCAAATGGGAGAACATAGGCTTCTTGGAGCCCGGGCGAGTCAATGAGAAGACATGTTTAGGCCTCCATGGATGTGACATGGAAGACCTAAAAGAGAGATTGATTGTTGTTGTTGATGAATTCAAGATGAAGAACAAAACCCACATACTTCTAGCCTACAACTACGAGTATGTGTTCCTGGCTAAATTACAGTAGCTTATCGGTAATGCTCTGGTGGGCTTTTCCGTCCGGATACACCCACGCAAAATATCTCGGCCAGCTCACCGAACAACACGACAGGCTGGTGGGCTTTTCCGTCCGCTCGAGAACGGATGTAAGATATTTTTAGGCCCTATCACCTCCTGCCCTCTCTACTTCTCTGCCTTCCTGCCCGCACTTCACAAGGTTTCGTCTATCGTCTGCTCCTTTCTCCCCATCTATGTCTGTCAAGATTTTTCGCTCCTCTGCCACCATCCTGCACCGCGCCCCCATCGACCTCGCATGTCGTGGAAGGAGAGGACAGCGCCTGCGCCTGGGGAGGCCTGGGGAGGTCTGCGCGTATGCTTGCGCCCCCATCCATGTCACCCGTCAGCAGGAAGGGGAGGCCTGCACCTGCGTCTGGGTCGTGTACACGATGCTTGTGCCTATGCTGCACCCCCATTCAATTGTTTCATCTGGATGTTAGAAAAAGTGGATTTTGGGATGTTGCATATGTTGCTATGGCTATACACGTATGTTTCCAGCGTATGTTTTAAGTGTTTTAAGTGTTTTAGACGTATGTTTCAAGTGTTTTATCTGGATGTTGCTTTTGTTACAATGGCTATACACGTATGTTTTAAGCATTTTAGATGTTGCAGACTTATGTTGCAAGTATTTCATTTTGAATGTTGAGAAAGTAGATCAAGATATTGCATATGTTGCAATGGCTATACATGCATGTTTCAAACGCATGTTGAAGTGTTTCATCTATTTTAGACGTATGTTGCAAGTGTTTAATTTGAATGTTTTAAAAGTAGATCTCGGGGTAGCACATGTTCCAATGCGCGTGGTGGTGGTGGTGGTGGTGCTACATGGGTGGTAGCTGCTGCTGTTGCGTGGGTCACCGCGCCGCCTGTTGGTGCTGCTACTGTGTGTGTATACTTGCACGCCAAATGTCGGTCGTGATTCGCTCGAAGCACGTCCATCGATCATCTATATGTTGCCAGCCGACTTTACATTTGCATAACTCTACCATTGATCTTGTTTGCAGAAGACAATATGGCAAATAAAAAAAAATCTGAATTGCCGGTTATTTTTCCTAGGAACTGGGAAGAGCATCAGAACACGGTAATTAAGTAACGGCAGCATGTGAAGCTTGACCTAGCTAGCTAAGCAGCGTAGGAAATGGATAATGGTAGTTTATTTTCCGGTTGTTGTCAACCGTTACTAAAATGGCCTATTTCAGCTGCCTAAACCAGACAAATAAAAGAAGAAGAGAAGATATACTCCTAAAATTTAGTCACCCCAAATCAAACAGTAGCGGACTAGTTTGACTCAGAAACGTCGTGCCATTTTAAAACAGAATCCACCTGTTTTGGTCTAGCTAGCTAGTAGCGGACTAGTTTGACCGACAACATTTTGTTGTCCAAAAAGGAGCCTGCCTGCTGTGTCTGTTCCATGGATGCCTGTCAACATCAACAGCAACCGATGAGCAACAAGTTCAGTCGTCCTTGCCGGCACGGATCAGGCATGCGCATCTATAAATTCCATGCGTGAACGTGAACTCCTCAGCAGTCATCGATCGCACCAGTCGGCAGTTGCAGTTACAGAGACATCTAGCTTATTACTAGCACCTTTTTTTAGATAAAAGCAAAATAATCTGGCCCAATCTAGCTTACTAGTAGTCGCTAAATTGCAGTAACTTATAAGCAAGAACTATATATTTAAGGTTTATATATTCTGTTGAAATGGCTTTGCAGATTCAATTTCAAACTGAAAGAATACATAAGGGGGCAAACAACTCGACATCTCTGCACACACCTTGGATTCCAACCTTATTAGAAAGTATGCTAAACAGACTTTACTAGAAAGCTTATTAAATCAAACAAGCAGCAAACGATATTCACAACAATAACAGCAGATAGACCAGTGTTAAGCATGCCAATGTTGGCCAGCAGGGCGAGTGCCCGAGTGTAGCTAGCACTGTCTAGGAGTGAGTACTCTGTTAGGTGTTGGCAGGTTGTGGTCCTTTCTTCCAGAAGAAGAGCAGCAAAACGAAGGCAAGAACAGGGAAGAGAAGCAGGGCGACATCCTTGGACGTGCACCAGTCCCGAGCGCTGCCTGCCGCGTAGGCTCCCAGGAGGGCGAGCATGTCCAGCAGCATGGCCGTGTGCATGGGCCAAAGAGGCTTGTTGCTTTTGCTTCCAAGTATCATCCGCGAAAGCAGCAGGGCGATGACGGTGATGGAAGCCATGAAGGAAGTGGAGTTGCTGTAGAAGAAAGCGTTGTACCGATGCCTGTCGACGTCGTAGAGGACCGGGTTGCCGGCGTCGTGCCCGGCGCCGTCCTCCCTCCACAGGCCACCCGGTGGTTTCAGGCCGGTGAGGTAGGTGACGCTGGCAGCCAGTATCCCTACCAGCATCAGGTACTTGGCCATCATCACGTCTGAAGACTGACCATGTGTCGTTTCAGTCGTCGTCGTTGAGGACTGGTTCTTGCTACCTTCTGCTTCACCTTTAGGCGGCTCCTTGTTTTGCTGTTGACCATGGCGGATGATGGCCACATAGACTACGATTGCGAAGACCGCGATAACCAATGCCAGGTCAACAATGGAGGTTCCCAGATGCAGCGAGCTTCCGGCAGCGTAGGCACCGATGAGGCCGAACATGCCGGCCACCATGCAGACAAAGAGCGCGTAGCACTTGATGCCCGGCCCATACAGGGTCGGGTTGAGGAGGAGCACGATGAGCGCCACGGACGCCATAAAGCTCGCCGCGTTGCAGTAGAAGAAGGCCTTGTAACGGCGAGGGTACTTGTCCAGGAGCACCGGGAAGCCGGCGCGGCGCCCGTTCTCCCACAGGCCGCCCGGCGGCGTCAAGCCAGCCTGATAGGTGAGGGTTGCCGCCAAGATTGCGAGGAGCAGCAGCACCTCGCGCTTCTTCTCCATCATATCCTCCTCCTCCTTCTTAGCTTCCTCACCGCCGCCCTTCTTGCTGCCGGGGTGGTGGTGGTCTAGCGTGAAGAACACGACGTGGATCACCACGTAGACAAGGACGCCGCCGGCGATGGCGAGCGTGTAGATGGAGGTGCTCGTGTCCCTGCTACTCCCGGCGGCGTACGCGCCTATAAGGCCGAACAGGTCCAGGATCATGGCCGCCTCCAGCGCGTGCCCTCTCACGAGGCGCTCGCTCTGCAGCATCACCATGATGACCAGGGACGCCACAAAGGCCGCCGAGTTAAAGTAGAAGAAGACCCTGTACCGCCCGGGATGCGTCGTCAGGAGGATCGGGTCTCCGACGATGTGGCCCTCCCTGTTGTCAGCCCAGACGCCGCCAGGTGGATCCACTCCTGCTTGGTAAGCGACCGTCGCCGCAAGAGTGGCAAGCAACTGAATGACTTCACGAGGCTTCTCCAGATCATTGCGTTCTCCACTGCCTGTTGACCTACATATATTTCACAAATAGTAGATGACTAAAAAATTGCAAACTAGAATACATTTGGTGACAAAATGATATTAATGAAAAAATCTAAAAAAATTAGAAACGCTTGGCGATTAATTTGGTACATAACTTGAACTATCATTGCCATTGTATTTGTTTCATTTTCTAAAAAACTACACACCCTTTCCATTATGAAAAATCTTCAACTAAACCATCAAACAAAGCCATTATGAAAAATAGCATAAAATAACCCCTAAATATTTTTACATAGATTGCCCACCTATGTGCTGTGTGCTACCATGAATACCAAATATATACACATGCATGTATAAGAGATAAATACATAACTTTATAGTTTTGCAATCATGAAAAATGCCCCCTTACCAAATCACATACCAATGGCACTATGTATGCAGTTACATTATATAAAATTTGTAAATTTAGAATAAAAACATTACAGAACATCTACATTGGTAGTTTGATTCTGATCACTCTATCCTTAATTATAAAACTACTATACACATAATCCTTTCATAGAGGAAGTTTAGAATATTAAGAATCATGTTACATGCTGAAAATAACAATTTATGCCATTGTAATAACTTGAAGTATATTATATATATATATGATCTATACTTTATGTTTAATAAAAGCATCAAAGGAGAATTTGTGATAGAAGGTAACAATAATAAGCAATGTAGCTTTAACTTGTGGATCAAAAGATTTGAGGAATTAACAATTTATCCCAAATCTAGTTTATGTCGTCATGAAACTTAATTTGCAAACAAGAGCTGACATAGCTTAAGCAAAACCTTCGAATAAACAAGTATCTAATACACACACGAAAAGGTCCAATACAACGACTGAACTATGAATATAGATGGAAAAATATATAGAATAACTGCTGAATTTGTCGTAATGGTATTGAGACTCCAGATCATTGTTTTAGAAACGAACAAATACAAACAACAAAAATAAGCATTTTTGACTAGTTCTAGGCTCTAAACTTGTTCACAAACTTTTAATACACGTATATCTCCTGAGATTTTAACCAGTGTAGGATCCTGGTTAATGATGTAATAATCTTAAAATTCTTAGGCAGCTAGCTTTTGTTAAAGAAGTTATATCAGCAAGTTTGAATTGTTAAAGCAAGATGTTTAGTTTGAATCTCTTAATGCACACTTGCCAAAGGAAATTTCAACTTGAAATGTAAACTACGCTTTGCAAAGATAAAGATGAGTATTGCATAGTGCATCTGCATACCCGCTACCAAAGCTGAAGTGATGTTGCAGATTGATGGCAAGAAACCGTTGTAGAAAGATGCAGCCAAGAACTGGGACAATTAGGGCTAGAACATAGCCGGTGTGCTTGCTGTCCCTGCAGCTTCCAGCGGCGTAGGCGCCGGCGAGGCCCAAGATCCCCGTGATGATGAGCCCACACAGCGGAACCTTGACAGCCTTGAGGTCCACCTTCTCGTAGGCGGTGAAGGTGATAGCCAGCAGCGACGTGACGAAGGCGGCGGTGTTGCTGAAGAAGAAGAACTTGTAGCGGATCGGATGGAAGCCCTGCAGCACGGGGTTGCCGGCGGTGTGGTGACCTTCCTCTGTGCTCCGCCAGAAGCCACCCGGTGGGTTCAGCCCGGCCACGTACGCGATGGTGGCCACGAAGATGGCGAGCACCAGCAGGATCTCGTGCTTGGACTGCTCGTGGTCGTGCTCGTGGTGGTGGTCGTGCTCGTGGTTGTCGCCCGGCGACCGCGTTGCGGTTGCCGCCTTGTCTTGTTTAAATATCATGCAGGGGACGACGAAGCTGATGCAAGCAAAGGTGGCGCCGACCAGCCCGGCGGCGCAGACCGTGGTGAACCTGTCGTGGCTGCCTCCGGCGGCGTAGGCGCCCATGAGGCTGAGCAGGTCGACCACCATGACCGCCCGCGTGAGCTTGAGCAGCCAGCCCTGGTCGCCCCTGTGCAGGAGGAGGAGCAGGAGGCTGACGACGAGCGACGCCGCGAAGGAGATGGCGTTGAAGCAGTAGAAGACGATGTAGCGGATGTAGTTGGTCTCCCGGAGAATGGAGTCGCCGGCCAAGTGCCGCGACGACGTGTCGGTGTCGTCCTCCAGCCAGGAACCCCCCGGCGGGTTGAGCCCCGCCGCGTAGGTCACCGTCGCCACCAGGGTGGCCAGCAGCAGCAGGTACTTCTTCAGCTGGTACTCCGCCGATGTCGATGTCGATGTCGATGCCGATGCCGATGTCGATGTCGATGCGCCGATGTCCATTGGCGATATCGATGGAGGTGGCGGGTTCTTCTTCCCTGCTTTACCCGACTCCTCATCGTTCTGATCCGCCATTGTTCTGCTGGGTGAAGTGAAGCTTTTGAGTGACGTACACACCCATGGGCTTGGCTCGATCTACGCATTATATATAGAGCTGATCGATCGAGTAGCTGACATGGCACGCACAACATCTTGCGCCGATGTCTGCATGCATGCGTGTGTCTCAATAATGGCATTACTTGATCAAGTCATCTTATATTAGGCTTTATATATTCCCTTGTCAATACCATGATAGACTTTATGCTTTATGCCCTATTAGCTTTTCATGCGCTAGTCTCATGCAAGTGACGATTCTCAGCACGGCAGGTTTCGATCCCTCTTGTCTCGTGCACACTTTGTGTTGAGGGGTTGAGCAAAGATTAAACAAATAAAAAGAGTAGTGCCATTCTGTGTATTGTGTGCATGCATCTGCTATCCACATTTCAGGCATAGCTTGGATGGCTGACTGGTCATTTTCTAATAAAGCTCCCGAGTCCCCACCGAGAAAGAAAAAGCATGCATGTTCCCCAAACAACGTACGGGCACTGTGTGTGGAGCTACGCAAGGTACCTTTCCAGCATTGCTCAAGGTATTCCCACGCAACAGCGAAAGTCGAAAGATCTCGGCACTGCAGGGTTCCGTTCCTCATGTAATCTATACTTGTTCTACTGGAGTTATGAATGCTGCGCGACTGAGTATTTGGGCTATAGATTTTTATGTACGTGTTGACACCCAAAAATATGTCAACTTAGAAAATGGGCTATTGCTATTAAGTTTCTAGCATAAAAAGGGTGTTCAAAAATATTTGGTGCGACAAAAGATGAAGAAATAAACAATAGAAGGAGGAGGACAGCGCCGGGCTCGGCCAAGCCTGCTGCTCTGCACAAGTTGGCTTAGCCGACGCACCTAGTTGGCAAAGCCAACTGCCCTAGTGCCAGCTCCAAGCTGGCTAAGGCCCTGTTTAGTTCACCACAAATCCAAAATTTGGCACTATGCAAAAAGAAAATTCCCCATCACATCAAATTTGCGGTATATGCATGGAGTACTAAATGTTGACGAAATCAAAAACTAATTACACAGTTTGGTTGTACTTTACGAGACGAACGTTTTGAGCCTAATTAGTCAACGTTTGGACAATTATTACCAAATACAAACGAAATACCACAGTAGCTACTGTAGCTACAGGCGCTACGGCGGCGCCGATTCTGGCCTCAACTAAACGAGGCCTAAGCCAATTTTTCTGCTGAGTCTGAATTGGTTTTATTTTCAAATCGGTTTTTGGACTTTTTTCGACGTTAGAAACTTGAAGAATGTGTTTTGGGATTGATTCCTACTTGGATAAGACCGCCCCTCTCTCTCTATGAGAGGATCACGGCCAAATGGTCATGTTAACCATCAAACACCAAAATCCAGACTAAATATCCCATGTGCTCCATTTTCCTTACAACGCGGAGGTGTAGCGAGGGGCGGAGCGGCGGCACCGCTGAGAGGAGACACTACCAGACTTAGGGTTATTCCTGATGGTTTTTTAAAACCTGTCAGGAACTACGATTACTCCTGACGGTCTACAAAAACCGACGGGAGAAACTCAGAACATTCATGTCGGTTTTGTTAAACCCATGGGAATTTAGATAAACCGACAGGAATCCTAAAATCACTCCTGACAGCCAGTGTGAACCGACAGGAGTTCCCCTTCCCGTGGCTCAGGCGAAAAAATCTGGCTTCTTACACGTTCACTGCTCGGAGGAGCGTGGAAAAATTGAGGTCCCGCGCACTACAGTTGTGGGTCCTACATCCCAAATTTCCCACCCATGTAAATATCTCAGTCCGGCCCACCCAAACCCTAATCATCTACTCCCCAAAATTCCCCACTCGCTCCCCCATGCGCCGCCGCAGCGCTCGGCTCCGACTCCGCTCCCCACGGGCCATTGTCTCCTGGCCCTCCGGCCACCCCTTCACCGCCGCCCTCAGGTCCTCCTCGCCCACCCCCGCGACCACAGCCTCCCAGTCCTCCGTCCACCCCTGCTCCGCCGCCACCTGTAGCGCCTCCCATCTCTATGCCGCCGGCCAAGGGCGCCTCGTGCGCCGCCCACCGCCCTCGTGGCCTCCTCGTGCACCCCCACGACCATAGTCCCAAGCCCTCCACCCACCCCGCAGCAGCCGTGCCTTGGACATGTGAAGGCTGTGGCAAGTAGAGGAAGAGGTGGCCACCAGCCCACTTACATTAAGGAAGGGTGCTGAAACATCGGCTCTACGCAGATCTGGCCCATAGCACTGTGGATGCGTCGGATCCAGCCATGGCGGCGGCAAAATCGCCTCAGCACCGTGAGCGCGCTAGATCCGGCCTTGGCGGCAGTGGTATTGCTGGTAAGGATGCCTGGAGATCAGGTTTGCCCCACCTTGTGCTGATTCGAGCTCCTTAGATTGCTTGTTTCAAATTGGAGTCTGATTTGTCCTCAAAAGTGCTCGTTTTCATCCCTGTCAAAGGTGGGCATTTCTAGCTCTTGTTGCTGCTGACCTGCTGTTGTGTGATGTCAATTGTGGAAGATTTAGTCCAATTTTAGCTGGCTTAGCCATGAATGTAGGTGTTCTAGGGGCCATTGGAATTAGCTAATAGACTAATATTCCTAGTTACAGTTGCATTGATTGTTAAACTTGCATGGATTCAGTTCATGAACTAATTTTTAAACTTGCAGCTTTCATTAATTGGGTAAGTACATGCTTATAATGTAAGTTATCTAGGATATTATTGCCAGCAGAGCTGGTGGCTTTCTTGCTTCTAATGCATGGTTGCTTTGCTTATAATTTGCACAGAAATGTCGGCTGAAATGGCAGTTTCCAGTTTCTACGTATCTTAGTCATTGTCCGGGAGGATTAGGATTAGCTTGCTTGGAGGATAAGTTAGATTGCTTAGGGGCTAAGTCTCCCAGGACTATAAAGACAGGGGCTATGTAACCTTTCAATCTTAAGCAAGAGTAGAACAGGCCAAGGGCCTTCTATCCCCCTCCTCTCCCTTCTAAGCCTCGGTCTCCTCCCGTGCCTCTTCCTAGCGCCGCCGTCCCCTTCCTCCTGTCGATGTCCACACCCTCCCCTAACCCTAGCCGCCGCTAAGAGCCCCCTTCCTTGCCGGGCTCTGACACTGGTATCTAGAGACCAGATCGATCCGATGGCCACCACCACCACGTTCATCGACCGCGCCCCCCACAACATCATCGATCAATTGGCGAAACTGGGCGACAACTTCTTCGCCGGTAACACCAGCAGCAGCCCACTACTGCTCGATGCCACCGCACCTTTGTTGCTCGTGGCACCCCGCAGTGACTATGCAACAAGCAGCGTCGCTGTCAGCCTTCCCTACAACGGCCTCGCCACCAAGCTGATGGACAACGCCGCTCGCCTGAGCAACAGCGAGCATGCACGTTCCAAGGAGGACCTCGACATCCGCAACATGACCAATCGTTGGAAGACGATGTTTGACGATTCTTCGCTCGCCCCGACAATTCTCCACCAATAGAAGATTCACCTCAACCAGAGATCCCCACTTCGGAGATCACGCACAAAGGAGTTGAGGCAGACGTCTTTCTCAAGCCCTATCAACGATCAAGCAAAGCCGTAGCACGAGGACACGCTGCATGGAGAAGGGGGAAGAGATGTCATACATCTAATGGAGGTCCCAAGAGAGGGCCCAGGCCGGCTAGGTCTGGGCTGACCACGCCACCAGGAGGGGGGCACGACCAGCGGAGGGGCGCCCACCCGCCGAGCCACCGACATCCAAATCTGGGAGGATTATGATTAGCTTGCTTGGAGGATAAGTTAGTTTGCTTAGGGGCTAAGTCTCCCAGGACTATAAAGGCAGGGGCTATGTAACCTTTCAATCTTAAGCAAGAGTAGAACAGGGCAAGGGCCTTCTATCCCCTTCCTCTCCCTTCTAAGCCTCGGTCTCCTCCCGTGCCTCTTCCTAGCGCCGCTGTCCCCTTCCTCCTAGGCGCGCGCGGCCCCTAGGGAGCGCTGGTGGAGGCGCCTGGTGCCCCTCCTTGGGCCCCTCTCGGCCCGTTAGCTCTCGGTTGGGAGGCCTCCATTGGGCGTATGACAGTCATATTGCTCTATACTATGATGTGAAATTTAGCACTGTTTGTTATGCCTTCTGTATGATGATTTTAGGCAGCATGGTCTAGTAGCACTACTGATTCTGTTGTGTATTTCATGTGTTTTCGTCACATACAAATTAAGACGAGAATTTCAACTCTCAAGTAGGCAAAAGTTCCCTCTGTTTACTTTCTTAGATAGCCTCATGCTGACTTTTTGTTTCTAGATCATGCTGACTTTATATAGCCTCACGCTGAATTTCAACTCACAAGTAGGGAAAAATTAAGACTGAATGGTTTAACCTGTTGTCTGTTGCATTTGGATGTTCTGAAAAGCGGATGTTTGTGGCTTCTTTTTCTTAATTTAGTGATTGGCAGAATAAACTAACAGCCATATTTGTCGTGTACAGATTGCAACTCAGCCAGTTCTGATATGGAGACAAGTTTAAAGCTTGCTTTGACAGGTAACATTTTAGATCATGCTTTTTTTTGTGTCATCAACTCATTTTAGAGCATGCATTTAGCTATATTGAGCTATTTGCTGCAGGAGCAGTAACACATAACAAATTCAAATAACCATATTGGTATGATGTAGAGTGTGACATGCCACTTAACATTTTGTTTATTTTACATGCTTCTCTGAACCCATAATGTACTGTGATCACATTTACAATACACTGTTACCCAGTACTTTTAATTAGTGCAATTTGAGATTTCTTGAATTAGATTTTCCATATCCTCAATCCTCAATAGGTTTCCCTGATTTACTTTGCAAAACTAGATATCTCAATTTCAGCTATTTAAGCCATGCCATGTGCACCAAACTAACAAACTGTATAATCTGGTCGATGGAATGCCAGCATTGTTCCCTACTATGGTAAAAGCTTTAAACATTTATCACAGTAATACACTTAATACTTGTTAGCTCTGTATCTTTTTTGTCTCATATTTATGCATATTTTGGTACTATGACACAGTACCAATCAATTTCTAAGATATTATTAGTGATATTTCAATTGATTTGATCTATTATTGTGATGTTACAGAACCATTCAAGAGTTTACATGGCGAAATTAGATATCTTAAATTTACTCTTATTAGTAGCTTGAAAAGTGATCACCTAACACTTGTACCTTGTATGAATATGAATCTTCTCTGAGTTGCATGTAAACCAGTACCTTGTCTAACTCTGAACATTTTCTGAAATTCATATGTTCATTAAAACCAGAACATGTGTTGTGTGATGCTCTGCTAGTTTGGTCTGTTCATTTGATGCAACTTGTGGCTGCATGTCATTTTTATATTCGAGCAGATGTGCAATCCTAAAGTTCACAGACAGCCAAAATTATTTTCACCTATTTAAATTCTCTCTTCTTGTGTCCTTAGTTGTGATGTGTAGTCTTTCAGTGTTAGAACCACTCACCATTTTAAATTCCATCTCTTTGTAGGGTACTGAGTCATCCCATGCTGGAAATGTCGCTTCTTGTTCTCTTGAGAGCAATGGCATGAAAGATAATGAAGACAATACTAACATGGACTGAAATGCTCAAGTGACAGTAAAACCTCTTTCGTGCAGTGAAAAGGGCTCTCCTTTCACTACTACACAAATTCTTTTGCACGGCGTTTACAAATGGGGCTCTGAGGCGGGCGGCCTGGTTGCCCGCCTCGGTTATTCGAGGCAGGGTAGCCAGGCCAGCAACCGCCTCGGTTAATTATTAACCAAGGCGGTTGCCCTAACGTAACCACCTCAGTTAATGGATTAATCGAGGCGGTCACCTTAAAAAACTGCCTCGGTTAATCGGATAGTAGGCCCGCCTCGGAAAAAAGGCCCGTAGCCCAGCTGGTCCATTAACTAAGCCACATATATAAGGCGTAATTAGGTTTTCACTCACACTTCAGTCTTCCCCTCCCCGCCGTCGCGCCCCTCCCCGCAACCTGGTGGCGCACCCTTCCCTCCCGACGGCGCCCTCCACTATCTCCCTCCCTCCACTCTCTCCATCTGTAGCACCCGGTTTTAAGAACAAAACCAGATACACACCATATGTGAGCCCAGGAAGTCAAATCTCACATATAGCTACAAAGAAGGGTAATATCAAAAGACAAATGCTCAATATATGATGTACTTAGTATAAAAAATACAACCTTAGACAACAAATAGCGGAAAGATAACTCCGATCTTCGGGTGAAGACTCCAATTCCACATGGACAACTCACTGGTTGATCACTGTCTAATTTCTCCAAGCTCTAGCAATCTGGTACCCATCCAGGATTTTTATCCAAAGTATTGAAAAATGAAACAAGCATAAGTACATCTCTTACTCAACAAATATAACATGGGGTTTATGAGGCTCAAAAGGCTAACACTGGTTTAACTGCAATTAGCTTTTAATTGTCACAATTTTAGCATAGGAGTAGCAACAAGTTTATCACAAGCCCATATAAACACATGATCAGATAAACATGAATAATGAATAGCATAAATAGTAATCATTAATGAGCATCTTTATCATCCGTATCATTAGTGTTCATCATCTATTTCGTAAGAGTCTAAGGCCGCTCGTGACCATGAGCACGGCTGATATACCAGTTTTACATTCTGCAGATGTTGTACACTTTCACTGTGAGTCACGATTTATCCTTTCGCCCGAGGTAGCTAATCTCTTAACCCACTTCCAAGGAAGGTTGGCATGGTTCACTATGAAGCCTTTCAAAGGTTCGTCTAACAAGTTAGGGCCATTAGATTCACTCCGCAAACAGATGTAGGAACCCCCTTCCCGATGGCACAATGACACGCAGCCTATACACAAGGGGACAGAGGCTGTCCTATACCTGATTCGGCAAGCCATTCTTACGCCAATAAAGGTAACCTCTAACAAGCTAGAAAATGTCCTTATACTGAGCTAAAACCAGAGCTATGTAGCCTTCACAGTTGTACTGTAAATCCTGAATGTTCGCTTACAGATAAATCCTTAGGAAGAGTAATCTAGAGCACCATAAAAACAGCCCAATGCTCTAGCCCTCTTGTTCCATGTTGTTAAAAAACATCTTTTAATGTTTATTGCATATACCATTAGTCAAGTTATAAGTTCATGGCTTTAGTTGAGAACTAGCATCATACTACCCAATGCAATAACCCATAGGAATCCAGGATATCAAATAGCTAGAAAAATTACTACGGTTGCCAAGGTAGACACATGCATATGATTAAAATGATATTAAGGTGAATAGGACAACAAGGGTGATCCAGAAGAAGTCCTTAAACTTAGATCCTTCTTCTATTGAACTGTAACCTCCAAAGGACTTCTTCTGGATCACCAACTTCTTCTATGTCACCAACGCAAAGCTCAATGACTAGACTTGATCATAAAGCACAACACAAGCATCAATGCAATCATACACGAAGCAAACAATAGATCTTAAATTAGAATAGTACACCAACCATAATAAACAGCAAGTAGAAAGGTTTTAAAGATGTTCTACACGTTGCTATGAACACATAGACGCGAAAAGCACGCTAATCGAAGCTACGGTGAGAAAGATGCATCTACCGATAGATTTGCTTCGAAAAGAAACTATAAGCTTTATTTATTTTAGCTATATAAAACATGTATAAGATACTTCAGAGAAATATCTTAATTGAGTTAAATCAAATTATACTTGATTTATAAAAACAAGGTAAAACTAATCATATAATTGACCAAGGTGAAAAGCCTAAGTTACTTTTAATTAGAAAAATCCAATTGCATAGTCATTATTCAAGTTAGGCATTAAACCATAAAATTCTAGAGCTGTTGACATGGAAAACATTGATACTAATGTATAGATTATGTCGTTACGAATCTAATGCAACTTGAACGGGTCAAATCGTAGCTAAAACGGATAAAATATGGCTTATGGAAGGTAGTTGCAATTTTGTAAATAGATGGAACTTGATTTTTGAATTGAAAATAAATAAAAATAGATTTTAAACTGAGCCAGGGACTGCAGATACTATTAGTTGAAGGATCAGGGGCCCTTTAGAAAAACAACAGGGATGGCGGGTTCGATTATTCAAAAACCGAGGGTCTCTTTAGCAAATAAGCCAGCCAAATCGGTATGTTCTAATCTGGATCGTTGATCGCAGATCTGACGGATAGGAGGGGAATGGCGTGGCCGGCCAGCCAGAACAGGATCGAGCGCGGCAAAAGACATGACCAGCGGAGAAGAGCTCATCAGCGAAGCCTGGAATATGGCCTACGTGCCACGGTTCTAAACAAGGAAAGCACCGAGAGAATGAGGGGATGATGGTGAACTTACCACGGCAAATCTCAGCGGCGCAGAGCGGGTGGAGGTGGCACAGTGCTCGGTGGCGGCAGCAGTGGACGGCGCTAGGGTTAGCGCAGTGGCAGCGCAGCTACTCTATGACTGCGGCTGACTCCAAGGCTCGGGA